GAAATATCACATTTATTTCTAATAATTTTACAGTATCTAAAATTTTCTAATAATAGACAAGAAAATAAATAAATTTCTTTCTAAGAATTTACAGCATTTAAAATTTTTAACATAGATAAAATATCACAATTTTATTAAAAAGATTATTTTTCAAAATAATGAGGTCGCTTGCGCATTAAATTTATCGCGCCTAAAATTCATGATAATAAGCAGAAATAATTATTTCATTTCATTTTTAAAAAGAACGGATTATTTTTCAAGATAATGAAGTTACTTACCTAAAATATTTAAGAATGAGCTTCCGATAAAAATTCGACTAAAGAGAGAGAGAAATATCTCAAAAATTTTCTAGAGTGGGAGTCTTGACCTCTCCTATTTAAATTCTTAAGATACCTTATTATATTATTTTATTAAGTTACACCTCATACATGAGGTGTAACAATTATATTACACCTGAACGCTTAAAGGCCACGTCCACTAAAGGACGTGGCAAGGCAGCAAAAACTTAAACCAAAAGCTTTTGAAAGTAGTGATGGTCCATAAGGATACTCATATGGACCATCACTTATTAAAAGTTTCTTCTTTTTTTTTCGTTTTTTTTTTTTGAAATTTTAGGATTATTACATACGGTAATTTAAATACCGTAATAAGTTGAAGGAATATTACGGTAATTAAAATACCATAATACCTTAGAGGCCGTTTGGATACCTGGAAATATATTGTCTCTTAAATATATTACTGGCGAAATATATTACTGCATAATAGATTACCTGTAAATGGATTATTATTGTTTGGGTAGTATTTAGATGCAACCTGAGAAATACATCGTTATTGTTTGGCTATGTCTGGAAAAAATATAGGAAATGTATTACCAACATTTTACCAATACGTGCATAGCAACTATCATTTCTTTCTTTTTTGTTACAAAATTCTACTAAAATGCAGAACTATTATTTTTCTTTTTTTTGTCACAAAATTCCACTAAAATACGGAATTAAAATCATCATCACACCATTCCAAAAAGATTTCTAATAATAACATCAGCACCATTCCAAAAAGATTTCCTAATAATAACTTGTACCATTTTACAGTCATCATGATACTATTTCCTATTTATTTTACATGTCTTTGGCACTTACATGGAATCACATGTTTTCTAACATGACATTGGTTTCAACATGATAAGTCATTGGAACAATTTGATTGGAATAACATGACTTTATTATGATAAACCTTATTTTTATTTATTTTTTATAGAAGTCTTTCAAATGTCTCTCTATATAATTTTAAATAAACAATAAATTTATGATACTAAATTCAAAATCTATAGTAGGGTTAAAAAGTTGGAAAAAGTTTGATTAGTAAACTCGAAGGTTTGGTAATTGCAATATAAAATTTTGAGGTATTGGAGGAGATTAAGAGATATGTTATTTCAATTGAGATTTTAGTAATCTCTTATGAGGATTATGTTATGTGAAATTTTTTATTATGATTGTGTTGTGTAATTCATCATTCATCATTGATTACTAATTTTTATTTTCATTATTTTTGTTTTGATATGACAGCTGATGCCTTGGGATGAGCTTAGAAAAGCTAGGAATCACCTATGTTATGCTAGTTATTATGAAGAGAGATGGCTTACGAGAGAAGAATTTTTTAATCAAGGATAGGGTAGGCAAAAACCTAAGATTTCTTAAAATCGACCTTCACTGCCGTAATAGATTTTTCACCTATTAGCGAGCGTAATGGATTTCGTGATTTTTGAGAAAATCTCGCGTAATCTCTTCCTATTTCTTTACAATTAAGTGTAGCCAAACAGGGAAAATGTCATATTTCATTGTAATATATTGTCACCTAATAGATTTCCAAGTATCCAAACGGCTATATTATGGTAATTTAATTACCGTAATAACATTAGGGAAATTTAAAAGGAAATTATCGTTAATATACCTTAATTTTAAGAAAATCACAAAAAAAAAAAAAAAAAAACCCAACTTCCCATAACCTAGCCCACATCATTTTTCTCAATTTTTGGGATTTTTTGGACAAAAATACGATTTACATTAGTCCTTCTACCGTAATACATTTTGCATGTATTACAGTAGAAGGACTACCGTAATAGTGTGAATATACATTACGGTATTTCGAGTACCGTAATGAACATTACGTTATTTAAGGTAATTTAAATACCGTAAATAATATTACGGTACTTTAATTACCGTAATACATTAATATATTCTTCACGATATTCTTAGTACCATAATGCTTTGAAAAGCTTAAAACTGAAACTAATATCAATGCTACCCCTCTCCTCCTACACTCTGCAAAATCAAAACCAAGGGAAACATTTTTTTCACAAAATCCCAAAAATTTCTCTAATATTTCATTTTCGAATAAATACATAGCAAAATTGGAACAAATTCGAGTTTTTTTTTTTTCTTAATGTATATACCGTATACAGATTACCCACCATCATGTGGGTATTTTGCAGAGAAAAAAATAGTTCTACAAACTCCCAGAGAAAAAAAGAGACTCTAGTTTCCTACATGATTTTTTGTTGGCTCAACAAGGCCATAATTATCCAAGCCAGTGGTTGGGTAATTATCCAAGCTAGTGGTTGGGTAATTATCAAGCCAGTGGTTGTCTCCTACGTGATTCTTTCCTAAAGAGAGAAAGAGACCTCTCATAATCTGCCTTTGTAGGCCAACAAGGCCATAATTATCCAAGCCAGTGGTTTGGTTTATCTCAGAACCAGGTTTACCATCTCGCACAGGCAAGTCATTTCAGAAATCATAACCATAGGTGACTTCTTATTTTTCCATGTACTTCGAAACTCAATTACATAAATCAAAATTACAGAGAGAGTGATTTATGCTAACAGGTTGTTAAATCAGACAATACTCAATGATGAAAATACTAAAAATCATAATGCTAATATGACCATCATCAATGATAATATGATAATTTGTTATAAAGGTATATCTGCTTCCACATCATTCCATGATTGTAATCTGTTAGAAAAAGTTAACATTTTCAGAGTAGACGCCATCTGATTGGCTTTCGATCTGACATTTACGAGCATGTATTGGCACCGATGCAGTTCTTTATTTGTTCTGTAGGCAACAAAAAGATAAGGGAAGTATAATAAAAACCACGTGTTGTGTACTTTTATGCATCTCACAAGATTAAAATTTAATGGCCATAGTATGGAAGACTTCATTAAAAGTGTATAGAAAGAAGAGAACTGGTAAACTAGATAGGTCTTTGTAGAACATAGTCTCTTTCTCTCTGTAGGAATTTGTAGAACCATTTTTTTTCTCTGCAAAATACGCACATGGTGGTGGATAATCTGTATACGGTATATACATTAAGAAAAAAAAAAAAACTCGAATTTATTCTAATTTTGCTCTGTATTTATTCGAAAATGAAATATTAGAGAATATTTTTTGGGATTTTGGGAAAAAATGTATCATTTGTTTTTTCTGATTTCGCAGTGCGGGAGGAGAAGGGT